TGAAAAATACAGTTTATGTATAAGAGTTTTGTAATTATGCTAAAATATTGTGTCATGCATTGATTTCAGAAATGATAATTTTTTAATGGAATATATTTCTTTTATATCTCAACGCATGATGTAAATAAAAATGCTCTCTTTATAATAAAACATGTGATCCTTTTTTTTAATGCCAATACGTCTACAGAGCAGAATGGGTCGTTATTAAACAGCGCACATTTTTATCGACTGTCTAGCTGTGTTCTCATTAAACAGTTCTTCATTCCTCGTTATATCGTTCGTTTGAATTGTCGTCATTTCTTTTTATTGATTATCGATATGTCTGCAAAACGTTTTAAAACATTATCTGGTTTTTTGACAAATGTTTCGCCAGTAAAGGAAGGAAAAAAACAGCACAATTGGGCTGAAGGGCACATCCAAACAGGTGGTAGTACCGAAGAAAAGGTCTTATTTTTCTTCGAAAAGCCGAAGGTATCGAGTTCTCTTTATGAAAATGCATTATCGGCATGCAATAACAAAACAGCTGTTGCTGTCTCAGGTTTATCCGAAGATGAAGATGGTAAGTGCTTTTCAAGTTGATACTACTTTTGAAGAAAACTGTGATGCTTATATGAATTACTTATCGTTTATCTTTTGACACGATACAGATTTTCAATAGAACAATGACTTGAAGAGCAAAAAAGAACATTTTTTTTATAATTTTTCTCTGCTATATTTTCGCTATTTATCGTTATTGATCAGTCGATTTTAAATAGACGTTTTTTTGTTGTTGTAATATTTGTATTATGAGGAACAGAATTTTAGGAACAATATTAATTGATTTCTGATTAAAATTATTATTGATTATATAGAATAGCATATAAGGAACAATGCATCAATTTGTTTATTTTTTCTTTTCTAGGAAGTTTTTTAACATGCCGAACGAGTGAAATCAAACCTCGGCAGGTAACATTTGATCGACGTGAAATGACTGATACAAAAATAGATCTTGGATCGGCTCTTACTACTGCACCTTCATCTGATGATACGGTTACGATTTCTGGTCGAGTAGTGAAACTCAATCCAATTACGTTCATCATGAAATATGATAATGTTACTCATCAAAAGGTAAAGAAAACATATCGTACTGGTGTTGTTGCTGATTTAACTGGTGCTGTTATGGTGATGCTTTGGGAAGATATTGCAAACGATGTGAGTTTTTTTTTGCATTCATGGAATTTAATCAATTTATTCTATAAATAGATTCGTGAAGATAGTTCGATTACTTTGTGTAATATGCGTTCGACAATTGATGGTAATGGGTTTTCATATTTTACTACTACTTTTCGAAGTGAATTGAAAAGTAAGTTTTTTCTCTATTCCTGTAGTCTGATGAATATTTTTATATCTGAAAAAATCTTTTATTGTATATAACTTATATTGTAACTACTTAATTTGAATTCTTTTAGATTCACTTGAATCATGTGACGATTACGATGAAGATGCTGCTGAAGGTTTGATGAATCGTGAATTAACACTTTTTCAGGAAATAACATGTACCATTGATTCTGTAGAAATCGAACTCTTTATATGTCTTTGTAATCAAGCATGCTCCCTTCTGTGATCATTAATATGTTTCTGTTTTCGGTTGAGTAGTAATTGATGATATTTCTATCAATCATAATCTCAGTAGTTATCAATATTAAAAAGTACCACAACAACATTTATTTATTAAAAGATTGATATTTATATGAAGAGAACAACAAAAGAATAGATCTTCGAGTAAATGAGAAAATTTGAACATAATAAGTAGGTGTATCGTTTTGTTACAAGCTTTTAAGATAAGAACTCTTATTTTTTTGTTTTGTGTTTCATCATTGTTATCATAAGGATTTTCATTAAAATTAGAATCGATTTATAATGATCATAATTCGGATGTTGTTAGATTTTTTATCGACTAACAATAATTATACCTCAATCAGTGAAATGTGTAATGATGAATTGAAAATATTCACGATTAGTACCTTTTATTTCGTTGTATTTTATTATATGTAACTTAAGAATGAATATTCTTCCTTTTAAAGAATAGTCTAATGATGTAACAAAGTATAAATATTTTTGAAGATTCATTAGAGAATTATCCAGAATTGTAATATGAGATTTCTATATCAATTATCATTACCTGAAATTTATACATTATAAGAACTGTTGAATTCTTTTGTATTGAAAATATTGATAACAGATTGAGATTTATTTTTTCTATAGAACGATTTTGTTCATTCTACTTTATTTCATGCAGCACTTTAAAACAAATTCTTTTTCATATTGTATTAATACAAAACAAATAAATTAATACATTTATTTTTATGTAAGATGAATCAAGTTTTTTTCTGAACAAAAAAATGTAAATCGTGCTTTAGAAATATTTTTTCTTGAACAAATAGCAAACAACAATCATATAAAGATCTAATAGAAATTTTTACATAGACTAGAATAAGAACATTTTAAAGTTAGTTCAACAAGAAAAAATTTCTTAGGTAATAATAACGTTCATAAATTTTGTATAATCCAACAGTAACAATGTAAATTTTGAATGTTATTTTTGATGATATTTTGCGGAATGAATAAACAGTTTTAATCTATCAATAGAAATAAGTTACACATAAAAAAAAATAAATATCTTACAAAGCGTCTTGAAAAAGATCGGATTCATTGGTATTCATTTGTTGATTGTTATTCATTTGTTGATGATTATTAATTTTATATGGCTTTCTTATTCTTGAGTTCATAGGCGGATCCTTCAGTATTTCGATGGAGACAGCTATTTTTCCTTTTTTGTCTACGATAAAATAAGAACAAATAAAAATAATTTAATATTAAATACTCACTATTATTTATTTGGAATTTACAAGTATCTCCAATATTGATACTACGTACTTGTCGATAGTTTATCACATTACTTTTATGAAAAAATAAGTCATCACATCCATAAAGCGCTCTCGATGACCTGTGAACAAACAAAAATTAGTTTTAAAATTTTTTTTACTAAAAGAATACATTTTAATAAATCCAAATTGTCGTTGACGAAAATATTTTACGATCTCACCGACATAAAATGTATTAGTTCGTTTATCTGTTGTTGTGTTTTTTTTTCTATTCTAGGTAAACAGATAATTATGAATAAAATAATCAAAATTAGTGACGTCATACTTCACGTTCTGGTTCATCAAATACAATTGTTTCTTCAGAATTGTGCGTCGTGTTGTTTGACATTATGAATATTTGTTTGATATAAACCACACTATAATTTGTAAGTATAATTTATATTTTATTAAACAGCTGGATTATACGAAATAAGTCTTATCTAAAAAAAATATCAGCTTTATTATTTTTCGATTCATTCGATAGTGACAAGGCGAATAAATGAAACGATAATAAGACTTAGAATGTTAGCATCAGCTAAATGATAGAAAAGCGCCAATACATAATTAAATATATATATGTATATATATACGTACTGTCTCTTTCAGAATTTTCATCGATAATGATCATATATTCATTGATTTAAATATTAAAATCATAGAAATTATGTGTTCATAAAGAAACAAATTACTATTAAAGAGGGAGGAAAAGTCTATTAATTAAATGAATAACTTTTTTTTGTACCCAATTTTGATTGTTGATATTTCGATAATGATTAAACAATACTATACAAAAATGTGGCAATATCAATATAGTATTCAGATATTGGCAATCGTATTCACGTCTTATAAGAGTTAAATCCGAAGATTTTGGAGAACTGAATAAGAATCCAAATTCTTTATCGTGAAGAATCTCTGATCAAGCTTTGTAAACACTCATTATTTCTGAAGATAACCTGTGTTGAATGAACCGATTAAAACCACAAATTCTATGAAACTAACTTGAAATTGATGGATCTAATTTAATAAAAAACTAGATATGATCTTTTGGGAAAATGGTTTCTCCTGAAGTTTAACGAACTACCAATACCAGTATCTTGGTTTATTCCACTTTTCTGATCAAATATTTCAAGCACTTTCATTAAGTATTACTTCATATGGTGAAGAAAGACATCCCAAAAAAAAGTCGATGAAAGTTCTATTAACTTCTAGATTCTGGTGCAGTTTTTCACGAGGAATCAGAATATGCCATTAGTTTGATGATCCAAGCGACAAATGATGATATATCATCAATTTTTCGATACTACTACGGCCAGTCTTTTATCAATCTATCGAATACCACGTGGGCAATCGATCTAAATTTCACTTATTTTGTATTTTTTATTTAATGAGACGTGTTTTGTAGTTACTCTATACACAAAATATCTTGAGTATTCGATGACTTCAATTTAGTTCTGAATTAAATTATGTTCGAAAAATTCCTTGAAAGAACGAACGATTCGAAAAATAGAAGAAAATGAGTTTACTGAGTAAGACATACCGTTTTGTGCATTATTGCTCGACAAACCTTTTGTGAAAAAGCTGAAGTCTGTGCGACCAAAACCAACAAAGATGATATTAGTGAAATATTGAGGGTGACATTTATTCTGGGATATCCAATAACATCATTTTTTTATTCTAAAGAAAACCTTATACGATACTTATTCTATATTAATCAAATTAAAAAAAAAAATTTTTATTTTAACACAAAATTATTATTATTATTTTAACATAATTCTAAAATGAGTACGATAAAAGAAAAAATGAATAATATTAATTTGTTCTATCTATTTTAATAATTGCACCAACTAAAATTTTTTTCTTTTTATTTAAATTTGTTTAACAGGGTACAGCTGTTTGAAAATATCTTGTTTCTTTTAATGGTTCACATCGTTTACCAGCATTACGTGTTCGACGTACAGGACTACGTGTACGTGTTTGTATGGCATCCTGTCCACAACCTGTACATGGAGGCTATGTACTCCATTGGGTTGCAACACAATCAGTTAGTGCTAAATAAAATGAAATAGAAAAAAAAAAACATCAATAAGAAACATATAACTACATACGACAAAGGTTTAAATAGCATGGTTGAGTTTCTTCAAGTGGTAATGATTGACAACGATGTTGATCAACGGCTCTATGATTACTTAATAATGTTCGTGTACGACGTCGAATACCATTACGACCACATGTTACTGAACATTCACTCCAAGTAACCATTGGACATGATAAATCATTATCTAAAATAAAATACAGATGATATTTCACTATGTTGTGGTCGATCATTTGGACAAGCTACACCTTATACCATAATTCGTTTAATATTCAATTTAGCAAATGGAGGTGGTTGATTGCCTAAACAATGAAAAAAATAAATGTTAACATTTTTTTTTCTTTTTATTGCTTTTTTTAAGCTGAATTCATACCATAAAATGATGATCGATTATCTGTAATATTACTTGAAACAATTGGTGCAATTGGTTTATGCGAATTCTCCGGTCGTTTAGGACCCTAAATAAAATAAAATTTCTCTTTTATTCTATTCTAACAATAAACGAAATTAAATTATAATTTACATCATATTGAATGCCTATATCTGTTCCAGCATCAATTGGATGATGTAATTCTTCATAGTTATCTAACCATGTACAATTTGGAAGACATAAATCAAGAACAGATACACTTATAAATAATAACAGTAAAAAATAAAAAAAGAAAGAAAAGAATATTGAATTCTTATTAGATTCAATAGATTTCTACCGGTAATCCAATTAGGTGATGGTCCAAGCATAGTAACACATGATAATAAATGATAATTTCTTGAAGTTGTAAAAGCACCTGCAGTTGATTTGCTTATATTAACTGTTCAAAGACCAGGTACAATCATTAAATTACGAATAACACCAAATTTAGTCTAAAGAAATAGTGTTTTTTTTTTTTTTAAAATTATTATTTAATAAAACAAAACCAAAGAAATTTACATGATTTTTTATTTCTTTTTGCATTGTACCAATTGCTCCCCATTCAGCTACTTGTTTAAGACCATCACTTGCAATGCCACCATAATTCCATACTATTGAAAAACAAAATAAAATACAAAATTTATTAGTTAATATATATACATTCCGAGTAACAAATAGTTGTAGTCACATAAAAGAATAATCATATATTCTGATAACACTCGTTGCCTTGCCAGTAAATGATAGCAAGTCAAGGTTGACAGGATGTAGGATATTAGAGTTTCACCAATTGTCTGAATTTTTAATTGCTTTTCTTAAATAGATATTACCATACTCATCACAAATTTCAATTAAAACCAAAGAAGTCGTAAAAAAAAGTAGTTTATAGAAATTTGAAGACAAGAATGTCTTCGTTGTAGTCGAAATATTCTTGAATAAATCAATACAACCATAATAACAAATACACACAATTGCAGAGAATTTCGAGCACTATCATAATATATGATTATTCTTTTATGCTGGAGATATATTTAAAATACCGACTATAACTATTTGTTTCTAGATATATATATATCATTACATGAATATTCTTCATTATGAACAGCTCCAATGATATCAAACCAATGAAGATGTTCTAAAAATAAGAAAAAAAAATATATCAAATTTTTGTAGAAATATTTCTACCAGGTAACCAATCTTTTGGATATGATTGTTTTGACCAAAGACCTTGAAATGTAAATTGAAATTTAGCTTCATCACATGCACAACATGGATAAGGAGGTCGATGAACTGCTTTTGGTATATCTAAATCAAATTAATGTATTTATCTTTAAGTATATTTTTTTTCTTCATTTAAACTAACTCATCATCATCATTTCTTTCTGTTTATCGTTCGACTAATTATTATCACACTCAAGTGTACATTGTTGTTGTTGTTCCAAATGTTCTGTACAATGTGTAGCCATAGCTGCTCGTTTATCTGCATACGTTCTTGTTCGAATTTGTGTACCTGGTCGATGACAGATAGCATTCATATATGATGACCATTCACTCCACATTTAAATAAGACAACGTGGATCATGAACCACTATTATAATTCAAACAATTGAAATAAGAAAAAGACGGCCATGAGTCTTAAAAAAAACCTATACTTGAATTATGATCTTGAATAAGTTCATCACATATAGCTTCACATTCATCTTGTGTTATAAAATTATTTTCATTACCTATTGAAAAAAAAATAGATTTAATAAACACGCAATAAGGAAATATTTCATCAATATCTCTACATCCACCATATTGAAATTTTGAACATTTATGTGTTGTTACATTAAAATAGAATCGATCAATAAATTTTGTACATGGACCTGGTTCAAATGGTTGCATAAATTTATCTACATACACAAAAAACAAAAAAATATTTT